GTATAATCAGGTTGAGGGATACAGTACTTTTTCCTTCTCACTTCCAGAATTTATCTTAAATACGTTGTTAATATGTTTTTTTGAAACGGGGGGACTGGGGGAAATTATTACATTTCCCTGCTGTTCCAAATTCCAAACTATTTTGAAATTGTGTTTTAAAGTTGTGAAGAAAGAATAATTCTGAACTGTATACAAGCATGCAATTCCTGCTTACCCGCACTTTATCTAAAATTGTTAGTCGGGGTGTTAGCCTGGAGTATGACATTGTGCCATATAACCCTCTTAACAAGTGAAAAACTTGTGGTGTGTGTGGGGGTGGGGGGGGGGGTGGATGGGGGGGTGGGGTTAAGTTCCACAGTATCTAACAGAGCTGGGGAAAGAGGGCTTAATACTGACTAAAATACTCCAATATTCCAAGCTGCCTTTTGAGCGTTCATTTTGCAAGCAAAGGAATGAAATTATCTAGGTAAAAGCAAACTGATTCATTTTAGGATTTTGTCCCCTACTTTCTTACGTTATAAATTTAGATATGATGTTCTTTTTGGCAAACTATAAAGGGAACTGTTTATGTCAATTTTAATATCCTGCATGCTTATAAAGGAGGCCTCTTCATCTTTTTTGATATGTGAGCCAGCTTATTGGCTTTATGTATTTGAGAACAGTTCATATCAGTAATTTTTCAGGTTACTTTTTATTAAGTCATGAATCATAGCACAGAAGGAGGCCAATTAGCCCTTCCTGCCTGTGCTGGTGCTAGCTCCTCAACCAGAGCTATCTACGCTAAGTCTAAATCTACAATCTCTGTTGTGCATGCACCTGAGGGTGAATAAACATTCCATGTTTTGAGTGTCAAAGTGATCTACATACATTGAATGTACTGTAGCTGGTCATATAGTTCCTCTGCCCTGCAGTTTTGTCAGATAATTTTCCTGTATTATTATACAGGAAATCTGAGAGTTAACAGAAATATAACTGAAGCCATATGATTGACTGTACTTTGTGCACTTCAGAGGCAACCGAATTTAGTACAAAAATGTTTCACATTGTCACACTGAAAGATTTGTCTGAAGCATACACAGTTTTACAATGAACATATTGCCAAAATAATAACATTATGCCAAATTGTTGTATACACACTCGAAAATATACGATCGTAAGATATTTAAATCCAAATTACAGAAGCATAATTGGAAGATATCATAGAAACATCTAAGCATAATGGAAGCTCAAGTGTATTATTTTAGGATCTTTCTACCATGTGATACTATTCACAGGATACATCTTATGTGTATACTTGCACAATAAGCATTGAATAGTAGCAAAAGTCCATTAGTAAATAAATCCATTAAAACAACAACAACAACAAGATTCTATTTATAAAGCGCCTTTCACGTCAGGAGGACGTCCCAAGGCGCTGCACAGTTGGGTCAGGACCCGAGCATTGGGGAAATGGTCAGGGTGAGGGGAGGGAAGGGAGGGAGCGAGGAGGGGGAAGAGAGTCGAGAGGGGAGCTGAAGGCTCTGTCAAAGAGAAAGGTTTTGAGACTGGCCTTGAAGGAGGAGAGGGAGGAAGCAAGGCGAAGGCACTGGGGGATGGAGTTCCAGAGCCTGGGGGCTGAGAGGCTGAAGGCCCGACCACCGATGGTAGGGCGATTGGGGCGGGGGACGTGGAGCAGACCGGAGTCGGAGGAACGGAGGGTACGGGCAGGTAGGTAGGGGGATAGTAGGTCAGAGAGGTAGGAGGGAGCAAGGCCGTGGATGGCCTTATAGGTGAGGATGAGGATCTTGAAATCAATCCTCTGGGGGATGGGGAGCCAGTGGAGGCGAGCGAGGGTGGGAGTGATGTGGTCGCGAAGCCTGGTGCGGGACAGTACACGAGCTGCAGAGTTCTGAATGACCTGCAGCTTGTGGAGGGAGGTGGCGGGAAGGCCGGCGAGGAGAGAGTTCCCATAGTCCAGCCTTGAGGTGACAAAGGCGTGGACCAGGGTTTTAGCAGCGTGAGGGGTGAGGTAGTGAACTGCCACAACATTCTCGTACACAGGCCACCATATATAATTTCAGACACCTAATGAAAATCTTTTCTCCCCACTCCAGCTCGATAGAGTCTCTCTCCCAACTCAATCTCCAATCTAGTGAGTCTGACTTCCCATCCAGCAAAGTGTCACTCAACAGAGGACAACATTCTCAGTTGCCACAGTCTTACACCTAAGCATCAATCTAGTCTCTCCTCTTAATTCCATCAATCCCCTGCCCAAGACCTGTAGAATATTTATTTTTCTCCAGCACACTCTTGCTCCCTGTGTCAGCAGAGTCTTCCTGCCAATTTGTGCACTCTACCTCCACAGTTGCACTTTTTATCCTAATAAAGATTCTCACACTAACCCAGATCAGCCTTTAGGATCATGGTGCTAATATGATCAATACTGAGATGACCTGAAATTAGGAACAGATCTTGACTGCGACCACATTACTAAGCAAAATCAGACAACAATTCACTGGGCTCCCCCCAAAAGCCCTTCAAAATGGATTGAAATATTTCTAAAGTCAAAAAACACAAAATCACCATGGTAAACTGGCACATGGCATGTTTCCATTGGAATACAACAGTCACAAACCAAACATTTTAACTCACTCCCAATTGCTCACCAGGTTCATCTATACATAAATCACATCCAACAGGAAACCACCATGTAACAGTACATCTTGGTCTCATAATGGTGGTCAGTTCAATACCATTTTATTCCTCACTGTCTGTGAGGCAGTGTATTCCCATCTTTATCAGATGTAAGTTTGTGTCAACAGTTTAAGCATAGAAATTCATGCCAAGGTTTGGACCCTAGTATATGAATGGATGTCTAATTATATTGTAATTTACACAAATTACAATATGATTAAGCATCCCATTCATATACTAGGATTTTCATTAATCATGATCACATCGAGTCCAGCTGTTCCAGAGAATAGACCATAGAGCCTGTCCAACCTAAGAGATGATCTTGTGGCTTTCACGACTGGACAGTCTTCTCCAGTTTAGAAATCTAGTGTACAGAGGTTGACTATAGATTATCATGATGTATTTAGTGGCATATTTCACCGCTTCATTGTCAAGGACAGTGACAGGTGCACAATGCCATAGATGGAGAAGATACCTATTAATCCAAGGTCACAAAACAGCAGAAAATGACGTAAATACACCAAGAATGAATATAATCCAACACAAACAGGAGCTTTAAACTAAGAAAGTTTGCACAGTTGTAAATTCCACATGGACATCATAATGTGGCGAATGGCACAGCCAGCAGGTATTAAATAAAGTTTTATTCGCCTGTCAGGCATAAACAAACCTTTTAATTTTATGTGTTCTTAGTTGCTAGGATATTGGGATTGAAAACATATTTGGACAATGGTTCTCCTCACAGATGATTCCTGGTGAGAAGCATTCTGTTCAGAACCTCTGACCTGTACAGGATGTGACTGTTGCCTGTAGCACACTGTGCACGTGTTGGTTAGCCAGTAATCTTATCCAACTGGGGAATGGATAAAACTCAAAGACTATAAAAGAATACATCCATGGCAACTTTGACTATTAAATGAAATAAAGCAGAATAAAGGCAGCTATACCTTTAGTTATGGGAGTGAAATAAAATGAAATTTCTGAAGGGTGTGTAAAAGACCAAATGAATCAAATCTTTTTAACCATATACAGTAACTAGAGATACGGTACATAATACCAGTGAAGTGTTATTATTGGGTTTTTCCACAAGGTCTAATGACCCATTAACCCCCTGAATGGCAGATTAGATTGCAGAACTCTCAAAATACACCACTATTTATTTCCTATTTATTCTGTGTAATGCTGCTTAGCCGCTGTGTTCTGGAGCAGGGAAGGGAGGAAATGTGGAACAGTCCCCTTTGCCCAAGAATAAAGCATCTCTACGAAGGCAAGCTTCTCCCTTTTAAAAACATAGTCGACCTTCAGCTGAATTTGAGGAGATTAAAGAAGGTGTCACATTTCTCAGGCAACTCATTATTCAGCATGTTAACCACAATCTGACCACAATTCACTCAGTGTTAAAAAAACTCACAATGAAGTCAACCAGAAATGCTTAACAATCAAAATGTGGTAAATAATCTGCAATAATTAATTGGAAAAGACATCTAAGCCAAGGACAACACATTTTGGGCTGATTTAATATTGTTTGCCTTAGTCTTGAAGTCTGTGGCACACACTTCTTTTACCCAAATGTGAATAAAACAGTGATTTTTTAAAATTTGTAGCTTCAGTAAGCTTTTGGTTGTGGTTACAGTGAAGATTGTAAGTTCTTGTCATTTTGTTTTTAAATGATACAATCTATTATATGTTCCCCCTCCCCCAAAAAATTTCCTTTTTTTAAAATACTCGAGGCAAAATGACTTGTCCCAAAGTATGATCACACAAAGAAAATTGGAGAAGTATTAAAAAAAATGAAATACCAGACAGTTTCTTCTGGAATCTTGTCCACGGCAATAAAACAGCTAAAAATCATACCCTCATTAATGTGGTGTAGTTTTGAATTTATTACTAAAAGTGGTACAACGTCACTTTGCTGGCTGTGTGTTCCAGCATGATCAGAACTGAGTTTTGTAGCAAAACATAATTACAAGGTAAGATTGGTTTTACTTTTCTTGAACCAGACTTAACTATAACCAGTAATTGCTGACCAAAGTTTAGAAATAAAGTTCACTGATTTGATTTGAAACAGTATTTCTTGGTTGGATCAATTTGCCAAGTCTAGCCAACTAAAATAGCAGTTAAAACTATTTTATTAAAAATGGCAAAATCCAGTGGTTTGACAGCATATATATATGTATGGTTACTGACACGAAAGCCAAATGCCGTACGAGACACTTGTTGGGAGAAATTCCACCTGGGTCTCGATTTACTCCAGAATTTAGCAAACTCTTAATTTGCTGATTCACTCAGACACAGAAGATGAAAATCCTGCATAGACAAAGCAGTTAAAATATAAGATTGTGTCTAATCTTGGTAAACTTCTTAAATCGAATCTTAATTTGGAAGTTGGTTTTGCTCAGATGGGTTTTTGAAATGACTTTTACATTGAAGAGCTTTTGAAAATTCTGTGTTATCTTAGAATCCTAAGGCTAAATCCAGAAAACAATTCAGATCTCTCTTTACTGACGAACTCTGAAGGCCAGGGAACCACTAAAATTTACAATGCATAGAAAATAAGATGCGATTTGAATGTTTTTATGCCCCATAGAAGGCAGAGATTGTCCAAGAAACATACATTTTACAATTGATTATTTAGGTCTAGCTATGGCATGCCCATCTCATACCTGAATGCACCATATGTTAAACATTCTCAGGCCAATGTTTAGGGTAGCTTTTTGCTATACAATTTCTCTCTCTTTTTAATAAAAACTGTGCTATATCTAGGTGCAGCTGCCTATAAAAAAAATTATATTATTTTTAATATTTCAATGATTGTACGGTACATTACAATAAAGGAAAAAAATGGATTTGGCATGTATGAAAATGGCATTTTACATTAAGTAAAAATAGTCTTATCACAGTTTTGGTAACACTTTAAGTTCATCTCATTGAGTACATCCTTCACATGTGCAGAATTAGAGTAACACTCGTCTCCATCTTAGCTTTTATGTGTATCATCAATTGCTCTTGAAACAGTAGACCCCATATAACCGGTGCTTCTTGTCTGGGAAACCCACAAAGCGCACAGCTGCTTCACTCTCGCTGCATCGGAAGCGGGGTTTGGAGATCGGGTATCGGACACTGCCGTCGGCCAGCCAGCCGGCATCACAGCGGTCATAGCCCAGCAACTTCCAGGCAGCATACATCTGCCCAACTTTAGCAATCTTTGCCCCGTTCTTAACGCAGGCTTGCACAGCTTCAACATAGGTCAGCTTCCTAGGGTGGATCAAGTAGTAGAACTGACCTGGAAAAGAATTTAAAAATTTGGTTACACAAATTTTAATGTTGAAATCCAACAATTATAAGACCATTAAATGTCAGTCTGGCTCAGTTGGTAGCACTCTCCTCTCTATTTCAGAAGGTTGTGGGTTCAAGCCCATCTCACAGACTAGGATAATCCTCCAATATAGTCTGTAGGGGAGTGCTGCACTGTTGGTGGTGCCACCCTTCAGATCAGTTGTTATACAAGGACCCATCTGGATGGTAGCAATCCCATGGCACTACTCAAAAAGAGAAGGGAGTTTCTCCTGGTGGACTGACCAACATTTCTTCAGATAAAATTGGTCTTTCCCTTCCTGGCTGTTTTTGGGACAATGCTATACGCTAATTATATATACGCTATGTTTCCCCAAAAAGTAACTAAATTTTAATATATATCCTGTGACGTGCTTTGAGATATTCTGTTGATACGAAAGGTATCAAATATAAGGATTATTATTATTAATCCTTTAAGTACCTGTGCATTGTTTGCAAACAAGTACATGTTTGTGTGTAAGTTTATTTCTCTGAACCTTAGAATTAGAAAAAATGCACAGAATATTTCTAAGTCACCGTGGTCTCAAAGTGCAAAGTTTGGTGATCGTTTATTTTGGGTTGAAATAATCTTTTAGCGTTTAGTAAATATTAAAGTAACTACAGCATTGGCGATCATAAATAAATAGAACATAGAACAGATAGATCAGAACACAATAATCACATTCTGAAATGGACTCAGTAGAACTCGGCCAGAAAAAAACATTATCACCAAAAAACAGATGATCCCAGTTGGATTAGACTGCAGTGCACTCCTCTCCATCATTCTCACTGCCAATTAGCTTAAATCCCTGCACAGTATTTCCACTGCTCTTTCAGCTCCCTCGCTGAGCTATCCTACCAAACACTAAAGATCAAGCTAAAAATATTATTATTCATTACTCGTGAGTGAAGCAAATCATTATGATCGATGCCAGCTGTAAAAGCTGGCAGATAGCTCACACCTTTATATGCACTGTTTTTATATCCTGACAGAGAAATGCATCGATCAGTATTGAACATTTTTAGATATAAAAATATGAAAGAATGGAACAAGCAAAAACAGTTGAGGTTATCACTAATTCCTTCTACAGAACATGTGCAATCTTCTTTATCATGGACAACTTATTTGCCAACCAAATACAAAGTTACTACATATTACAGTAAATCCTGTGAAGCACTTGAGACATCTCCCCAACGTGAAAGGCACTTTATCAAATGCAACGATTATTCTTTTATTTAACTAACTGAGAAAAATCCTGTAAAATATCACCCTGAACTGAAAACATTTGAATTAAGCTCCACAACAGAGTTTAGCAAGTCTCTTCTCTTGCAATAGGGAATTCACTTATTGTAGAAATTCCTATTATAAATAAAGGAAAAGCATATTTTGCTAAAGGTAGCAAAAAGCAGATATTGGGTCACACTATCCATCCTCAAATGCAACTGGTTTCAGTGTTCCGAGATGCTATCCTGCATGAAATGCATTACATAAATACCTGTTTTGTTATTTAAGTTGCTGTCCATTGGGTCCAATTTGCAATATTTCTTAATGAAAAAGGCTCATTGGCAGGACTTGGAAGGGCAGACCAGTCACTGGGGGCAGGGACTCTTCCCTCTCAGCTACGGTTAGCCCTGCAAGCCAGAGCCCTAACAGATAGGGTGGTCCTAGCTGGACAAAGCAGCAGAAAAGTTTGCCAGACAGTGTAGCAAGTTTGGAATGGCAAGCTATGCGATTTTAGCTGGGTAGAATCCAGCAGTACTCCAACACAGACTCTAGAGTCCCCAAGCCTTGGCTTTTGCCAACCTGAGCCTAATACTCTCTGGAATTGGGTAAGCAGTATGCATCCCAACAGGGAGGGATCACAGATTCCATTCCAATAAATATCTCTGGAATTCCCATGTATAGGTGAGATGCATGGAACAGTTTGGTCTGGATCAGACACCTAGCTGACCAAGAAAAATTAACAGAAAATGGTAATTATCATATTTCTAAAGCAAGTAATATGCTGAAAATTGCATTCTTCAGTAAATTCAAAAGTTTAAAACATGAACGATGTATTTTTGAGGACATTCGATGGTTTAGCAATTTGATAATGTATTCTTCTGCACACTGAATCTTTTAGAAAATTGGTTTCAGAAATCTATTAAGGAATGCCATAAAATAGACCCCACTGTCATGCTTTCGCTGAGAGTCTGTCCTGATATATCCATTACTGTATGGGTTTAAAAGAGCAGCAATTCTTTTGTTAGTGAAGCAAATCTAGCAATTTTGCCAATTATGGGGTGGGGAGGAAATCCAATTAATTTCAACCATGATACAAATTACATTACTAATAGATATGCAGCATACTCCACTGGAGCTCAAAGTTATATTTAGACCAGCGCTAAATTTATACCAGCAAACCAGAATCCACACCAGATTGAACATTTTAAAATTCTGTCAGCATAAAATTCTGAAAGATGTGGTAAGTTCAAACATTTATTCAGATAAGCTGCACCCAGAAGTGTAGAACAATAGAAATTTACAACAACAACAACTTGGATTTGTAGAGCGCCTCCACACTGGAACGCATCTCAGAGCGCTTACAGCACAGAATAAGGCCATTCAATGCACTGTGTCTGTGCTAGCTCCTTTAAGAGCAATCCTTTCAGTTCTATTTACGTGCCCTTTCCCCATACTCCTGTAGTTGCCTCCCTTTTTTGGTATTTATCTAGATGCATCAAACACTTTATGCTGAATTCAATTATTGCTTTGTTCTGAATAAGTATGTTGAGATATGGTTCTTGCTTGCACTTGCCCTTCTGTGGTTGGTTGCTTTGATTTCATGCCAAAGAAAATTTAGTAAGGAAACTACATCTACTTGAAAGAGATTGCAGAGGTGATAGCTTTGGCATTTAAATGGTTAAATCAGAGGACTTTGAAACAATCATGCACTCTACCACAAACTGTTATATGAATGATGCTGAGCTCATGTCATTCTTACAAGATGGGAGGAAAAGATTGCGAATAGGAGAGTGAACACAATCTAAATTAGCTGCATTGATAACTTTGTAAAACATTGAATTGGGACAAAATATATGTGGAAATGTTCCAACTAAAGGGTATTTTGACCCAGTGCGGAATTTCTTATGTAATGTACTTTATATATTGCTTTGTTTAGTGTCTGACATTTATTGTGCTTCAGGTTGCAAATTTGGTTGTAAATAGACATTTGGGTAAAGTTTGCGTTCCCTTTGGCCCACCTAATCTCATCCTTTTGGAATACCACCCTATCATAGCATTAGATGTTTTATAACCTAATCCAGTGTTCAAGCCTCAACCATGCTTCCTAGCAATTTGTTCCAGTTGTTAAATACCCTCTGTTTAAAGAAAAAACTGCTTCTTGATGTCTGTCCTGAAACTGTCCTTTGCAATCTAAACCTATGTCCTCTTGTTCTACTGTTGTGGTGCATCCTAAAATATTGTTATGAGTTTACTCATTCAATCCCAATTAAAATGGTATATACCCTGTATAAGGTGCTCCTGGACTTTTCTCAAGTCTGAACCTTAGCTTATTTCATTGCTCATAGCTCATTCCTCTAACACTAAGGATCATCCTGGTTGCTTCTATCATTTCTCCATTCTAGGGCTTGGGCTTCTTATATTGCATTGACCAGAACTATAAGCAGCACTCTAGGTTTCATATTGAGTGGGGAAGGCATTGTTGAATGCCACAAACTTCATCTTTAACTTTACTGTTACACACACTGAGCTGTTGATCTAACTTCGTTCCCCACGGCTACCAGCTCCATTAGAACCATAGCGAGGGAGTATTAGTACAGCTTGGCAAGAATCAAGGCTTAGGGATCCCAGACTGTGTGTTGGGGTACTGTTGGAGCTTAACCAATTAATCAATTTGCAATTGAAAGCACTGTCTGGCAAGATTCCTTCTGCTTGTCCAGACAGGACCACCAGACCAGTCCTTCCTTTGGCTTGCAGGGTTAACAGCAACTGAATGGGAAGAATCCCTGCCCCCAGTGGCTAGTCTGGTCCAATAGTAAGTTCTACTAATGAGCAAAAATGGCTGGGGTATCAACAGGAATGCCCTGGAGTACTGCAGACCCACCTGGCTCAGAAAATGGACTACTGAGACTACCACAGAGGGTTGACTTGATTCTGACATTTTGTTGCCAAGCAAGTGACCTTGTCAACTCCAATGAGACCCCATTTATCTTCTCCCACCCATCCTCCCTCAGCAAGATTATATATTTGACAGGAGATTATACCCTTATGTCTGTGTACAGATTATTGGCATCATTTATTAAATAATTTCATTTCATGAATTTTAAAAAAAGGTTTGTTCTAACAAAAGTCTCCTGCGAAAATTTATTGAGAATTTTTTTTAAAACTTTTACGGAAAGGACAATAAAGTTGGCAACCTCCGAAATGGCTGAACTAATAAGCAAGAGTCCAGTACAAACAATTATTAAACATATCTGATTGTGCTTTATGCAGAAAATAGCAATTAGAATGTTCAATGCTCTGATTTTGTTTTGTTCCAATTATTAAAACGTAACCCAGAGACAGAGCCCAATGCGTCATAGGTTGTGTAATTTAAACATTTTGCCAAGCAAAGCAAACAAGATTGTATGAAATTGCAATCCCAGGACTCAAAGGAAATGATCTTTGCCAAACTAAAGTGACTGCCACTACCCACTAGAAAAGGTCTATAGCATGCCAGAACTGTGGAACTAGAATTCTCCATTTGTCGATTTTACTTCAAAATCATTAAACCTGGGGCAAAATGAAACAAGTCTCTTTGTCTAATATTATTTTTTATAAAAGACATCTATGAATTAAATGTTGTTTTATTCAAGAATTAACTAAAATGTTTATTTGCTTAAATCTGGGAGAATCATTTCGATGTTTGGATGTTCTTCAGAGAAAATTTAGCCAGTACTAAAAGTTAGGTACGGGACAGATGTACACATTTTAATTTGGAACCTATTCTCCCAACTTAAACAATTCAATCGCTGTTAATTGTTCAAGGAGACTATTCATAGCAATATAAGGAATCTATATATCCACTAAAAACACTGCGGAAAACGGTCAAAGTTTCTATTTGATAGAGGGCTGACTTGTCTGGCTTGTCTTTTCAATATATTATGGGGCTAGGACATGGTTTGCAGAGCTCTGGATGGCCTTCAGTTTGTATAAATTGGAGCTGGGACATACAGCGAGCAGGCCAGAATAAAAACTAAACACCAAAATTACACTACTTTGTGTTTGCTTGGAATGATTGCAGGTCCTTAGTTGAGTAATTTTGGGTTCGGTATGGGCAGAGTCTGAGTACCTCTTCATGATACTACTTTGTTTTTATGTCCAAATTTGATGCAACGTCTTAAATTTGAAGCAAAAAGCCAGTGATTCTTCAATATTTAATGAAGTTTGTTATTTCTCTTTGCTTATAATGATTTAATGACACACATTTATGAACTACAAACCTTTACCAGGTGAGCATCATTTTCTTTGCAGTCTAATGGTAAGAATATATCCAAATACTTTTTTTTGATCTCCGTAGTGTACAGTTACAGTGGGTGGGGAGTGGGTATGAGTCCTGGCATTCTGATCCAGCAGTATGTTTGGAAGATAAATGATTACACATGTGCCTGGTACTCCTACCACAAAAAGTGTGTTGCATACTGTAGTCCCAGGTAGACTATCCTCCTGCCCCTACACTGGCATTATTATACACATTCATGGATTGATGATAACAAAGCTTGAATTTTAAGCACACTGTACAGTTAAATCAATGTTCATCCCTTCTCTCTTCCTGTGAATGTTGGTTATTGATTGTGTCACTGCAAGGAAAACACATCATTCACCTACAAATATACAGTCACTACATTTCACAGTAAGTAATGTGAAGTGCTTTGAGATGTTTCGATGGTGTGAAAAGATGCTACACCAAATGCAATGATTATTATTGCCTTCCAAGGACTATAACTGCTGGTGAGGTGCAAATCAACAACAACAAATTACATTTGGATAGCGCCTTTCCCGTCAGGAGTACGTCCGTCCCAAGGAGCTGGACAGTCAAGGATTTGGACCTGAGCTGGAGGTCGGGATCAGGAAGGGTGGACAGCAGGGAGGATATGGGTAAAAGGTGACCAAAAGTGTGGTTGAAGAGGAGGATCTTGAGATGGGCTTTGAAGGAGGCAAGGGAGGGGTCGAGCGAATCAACAACCCAAGAAGCAGTTCTGAAAACATGTAAGGTGACATGTAAGGTGACATTTTCAGCACTGAAAAAAGACGTTCAGCCCATTGAGTCTGTGGTCCTGCTATCTTTTATTCTAAGTTACTTTTTTTATTAACCCCTCCTTTCTTCAAGTTTTTACTTCTCAGCAGCTCTCTTTTGAATGCTTTGAATGATCCAACCTCAATAACAATTTAGTAATGAATACCATACCCCAACATTACTCTGAGTGAAGAAATTCCTTCTAACCAGAAGAAAGAGAACATCAGAACTAAGTTACTGATGTTATCGGCCATTCTTTACTGTTTTCCATTTATTTTACAAATACTGCTATTTAGGTCACTGCACATCCCATAGTCATTTTACTATATAGTGAATCTTGTGAAGGCTTTGAGACATTCCATTAAGATAATAACATTTATCTCAATGAATTGCCCCAAAGCTTTCACAAAATTCTTGATATTACATAGGGGGTGTATTGCTCAGATTTCAGTACTCAATTCAGGGAAATGTACTACTGCACAGGGAAATTTACTACTGCACAGAGAATATAACTTCGAGAGCCTAAAGCAGCGCCTAAAATAAAAAGTATTCATCTGAGGATTCAACAATAATAAAATAATAATCTTTTAATCTTTGCATTTGATATAACGGCTCATCACTTTGGTGAAACATCTCAGAGCGTTTCACAGGATTTACTCTAACATGCAGTCACTGTGATTTCTGTAGTTGAATCTGAAGCCAAATTGCAATAACAATGTCCCACAAACAGCCATGGAGTGAGCCATCAGTTTTATTTGCTGGTTAGGACAAGGGGAGAAACTCCTCTTTTCAAATACAGTAGCACCATGGGATCTTTAATATCCACCTGAACAGGCCGCCAGGACCTTGGTCTATTGTCTTAATATTAAAGTCGTAAATCACAACCTACGGATTTAGAGGCACAAATGCTATCAAACGAGCCAGGCTGAGACCTAAACATGGTGGTGCTAAAACCTGGAAACAAGTCACTTACCCTCTGCTCCACAATTGGAGGTCGCGCTTTCAGCCACTATAATAATAATAATAATCCTTGCATTTGATATAGCGCTTTTCACGTCGGGAGGACGTCCCAAAGCGCTTCACAGAACACACTGTAAAGTGAATTGACTGTATATTTGTGGGCGAACGCGGCAGCCAATTGTGCACAGCAATGTCCCACAAACAGTCATGGATTGAAAATGACCAATTTATTATTGTTTTGTTTTTTTAGAGGGATTATTATTAGGCTCTGTGTGAAGTAAGGAAACTTGCCCAAGGTTTCGCCCTGCCGGGAATCGAACCCAGATCTCTCACTTGCAAAGCGAGTGCTTTAACCACTGAGCTACAGGACTCCACAATGCCCTGAAACTTTGGAAAACTCTCCCTCAATCCCTCTGCCTTGCCCCCTCGCTCCCCTTTTTCAAGTCCTGCTTTAAGATCTTCCCTTTCGACCATGCTTATGGTCACATCCCCCCACCCCACCGGCTCAGAGTCAGGCTCCGCCACTGTTAAGCGCTCCGAGATGCTGTCCTGTGTGGAAGCCACTATATAAGTCCAAGTTATTGTTTTAATTGCTGATCTCTTTATAAAAACTAATGAAAACTGGACTGGTTTTTCGCACACGACACATCCGCTATGTTATATCATGAACAAATGCCTGGCGGCATGTTTAAGCAGTACTGTAACTCAATCCTGCAATTATGCTGATATTGATAAAGTTCCTGAGTTCAGCTCTCGCTGGCTGGGATATCATGAGGATTTTTTATTGCATTAATACCTTGTAAATCACTGCTAATACACTATAATATATGACCTATTGGTGGTAGTGTTTTCCATGAATTAATAGTGAATTACTTTTCAGTATAGTGCAATAACGACTGGAGAGTCATACGTCCAGCTTTGAGATCACAGCCGACAATGGATACGCAACATTACCCCCCACAAGCCCCATTCCCCACCCGCCCTAAACTCCTTATGGTAGATTTCACAGCAGCCATGAAATTGAAAGGTTCTGTTAACAGTTCTCTCAGTTAATAAATTCGCACAGTTTACAAATTAAACTTTTTTTTGGTGACCCCCAGATTATCGAAGAATACAGGCCAGGACACTAGGAGAACTCTGCTCATCTTCAAAATATTGCCAAGATCTTCATTGTCCACATGATCCAGCAGAACCGCAGCTGGGACCTCGGTACGAAGTCTCAACTTCAGTTGGCACCTTGAACAATATAGCAGGTCCTCAGTCCTACACTGCGTGCTATCTATAATAATAATAATAATCCTTGCATTTTGATATAGTGCTTTTCATGTCGGGAGGACGTCCCAAAGCGCTTCACAGAACACACTGTAAAGTGAATTGACTGTATATTTGTGGGCGAACGCGGCAGCCAATTGCGCACAGCAATGTCCCACAAACAGTCGTAGATTGAAAATGACCAATTTATTATTGTTTTTTTTTGGAGGGATTATTATTAGGCGTGTGGGGTAAGGAAACTTGCCCAAGGTTTCGCCCTGCCTGGAACTGAACTCAGGTCTCTCGCTTGCAAAGCAAGTGCTCTAACCACTGAGCTACAGGCCTCCATCTAATCCCATTCTGGTTCGGACCTCAAACCCATTACCTTCTGTCCTATAGCGTGCTACCAACTGAAACAAGCTGATCAAGAAGTGAGTTTACAGGCTCAAATTTCACAAACTCCACAGCAGCAACAACAAAAACAAATTGATGAATGTATTTATCATAAATGTATCCTCTTATGAATGATTCTTGCTACAAGGCAATATCCGCATCTGTCATTGAGTAATATTACCTAAGTGTATAGGACCGTGTAAGACTCTCAGTGTATGCATTTCCATATACATAGAAACAGCAATTTTCAGCATCACAGAGATAATTCAGTCTGTGCCATTGCTCCCTTTTATTTCTTAATTTGCTCTTTTTAAAAAAGGAGGTAAAACCCCACACCATTGGTACAGGATGAGCCAATGCAATTATTTCAGGCCTTGCTTACCATTGTAGTTGGACGTAAAACAGAACACATCATATCTGTTCTTCATCTTGTCTCTGTAGCCATAGCTTCTGACACCGGGGACAGTATTTCTGCCACCGCAGGGTTCCCTGGGTTTGGTGATGGGATACTGCACAGATCCATCACTCAGCCATCCTGCATTACACCAGTCCAGCCCTGCTCGCCATGCATCATACAACTGATCAAAAGAAGCAACTATGGCATCCTGATCTTTACATGCCTTCTGAGCCTCTATGAAATTCAGGTTGTAGCGACCCAGCCGTGGGATATAAGGAAAGATGAGCCCTGGAAACAAATGAAAGGTGCAAAACACATGAATCATTGCATGAAGAGTTCACAACAATAACAACAAGATTACATTTGTATAGTGCCTTTCAGGTTGAGAGGATGTCCCAAGGCGCTGGACAGCTACAGCATTTAAACCCGAGCTGGGGTCAGGGGGGAAGAAGGGAGGGGAAGGGGGGTGGCCGATGGCATGGTCGAAGAGGAGGATCTTGAGGCTGGGACTTGAAGGAGGCTAAGGAGGGGGCGAGGCGGAATGATTGGGGGATGGAATTCCAGAGGTTGGGGGCAGAGTGGCTGAATGGTGGAGCGGGTGGGGCGGGGGACGTGGAGCAGGCCGGAGCCGCCTGAGCGGAGGGAGCTGGCGGGTTGGTAGGGGATTAGGAGGTCACAGAGGTAGGGTGGGGTGAGGCCATGGAGGGCTTTGTAGGTGAGGACCAGGATCTTGAACCAGATCCTCTGAAGGATAGGGAGCCAGTGGAGTCGAGCGAGAGGGGGAGACGGGGTCACGGAGTTTGGTGCGGGAGAGGACCCAGGCTCAGCGTCCTGGATTATCTGCAGCCTGTGGAGGAAGGAGTTGGGAAGGTTGACAAGCAGGGGATTTGCATAGTCGAGCCTGGAGGTGATGAAGGCATGAACAAGAGTTTCAGGGCCTGAGGGGTGAGGTAATGGCAGAGTCGGGCAGTGTTACAGAGGTGAAGGCAGAGGGGGTCATGGCTTGGATGTGGGGAAGAAAAGACAGTTGAGGGTCGAACAAGACACCTAGGTTCCTGACTGATTTGGTGAGTTGTAGTGTGCAACCATGGAGGTTGATGCTGCCAGAGCCTGAGGTGCAGAGGCGCTGGCGCGAGTCAATCAAGAGGACCTCAGTCTTGTTCACATTCAACTGTAGGAAATTCAAATCCAAAATCAAGGGGATACGTTCTCTGCCCCGTCCACAGCCACCCCCACATCACCTCTCCCTCATGACCCATCCCCTACCCATCCCCCGCTATACTCCTTCGACCCCATCTCTCCCTTCTCCCTCACCATGGCTGTCCGCAAACTCAAACCCACCACTCTCGATCCAATCCCCACCTTTCTCCTTATCTCCCAGCTCCACCTTCTGGTCCCTCTTCTGGCCGACGTCATCAACCTCTCTTTGTCCACGGGGTCAGTTCCCATCTCCCTAAAAACAACCGTCATCACCCCCATGTTGAAAAAACCTTCCCTGGACCCATCCCTCCTTTCCAGCTGCCGGACAGGAGAGGGGCCAGAAGGTGGAGCTGGGAGATGAGGAGAGAGGTGAGGATGGGATCGAGGGAGCAGCTGGTGGGTTTGAGTTTGCGGACTGTTAAGCAAATGTATATAATAATAATAATAATCCTTGCATTTGATATAGCGCTTTTCACGTCGGGAGGACGTCCCAAAGCGCTTCACAGAACACACTGTAAAGTGAATTGACTGTATATTTGTGGGCGAACACGGCAGCCAATTGCGCACAGCAATGTCTCACAAACAGTCGTAGATTGAAAATGACCAATTTATTATTGTTTTAGGTTTTTGGAGGGATTATTATTGATATAGAACCGTATCACATCTTCGAGAGGTCTCAAAGCGCTTTAGAAAATATACTGTCAAGTGAATTGACTGCATATTTTGTGGGCGAGATGCGGCAGCCAATTGCGCACAGTAGTGTCCCACGAGCAGTCGTGGATTGAGTGGACAATTTATTATTATTATTTTTTGAAGAAATTATTACCCCCAGAAAAGTGATACGTCAATCGACTAACAACCTGGTTCCTACTTACTGCTAGGTAAACAGAAGCGTGTTTCACCCTGCCAGGAATCAAACCCAGTTCTCTCTCTTACGAGGCAAGTGCTCTAACCACTGAGCTACAGGATTCATATAATAAGTAACTAGATACACAAATGTGTACAGATGTCAGGTATATAATTAAGTACCTCCAATCAAATATGTGTTCATTTAACACCATTCACATATATTCGTGGGGACCTATGGGTGATTTTATCATGTGAATAAGCAATTATTCATTTTTAATGACTATGGATTTCAGTCGGTCAATTTCTTTGGCTTTGCTCCACAGTTCTCCATTTTCTGGCATTATCATAATGAACGCCTGTAATATTCAACCACCTAATTCACACACTATTCTGTTCAAGATGAAGCTGAATCTTAGCATGCTGTCAAAATAATAATAATAATAATAATAATAATAATCCTTGCATTTGATATAGCACTTTTCACGTCGGGAGGACGTCCCAAAGTGCTTCACAGAACACACTGTAAAGTGAATTGACTGTATATTTGTGGGCGAACGCGGCAGCCAATTGCGCACAGCAATGTCCCACAAACAGTTGTAGATTGAAAATGACCAATTTATTATTGTTTTTGGTTTTGGAGGGATTATTATTAGGCGTGTGGAGTAAGGAAACTTGCCCAAGGTTTCGCCCTGCCTGGAATTGAACTCGGGTCTCTCGCTTGCAAAGCGAGTGCTCTAACCACTGAGCTACAGGACTCCAAAATAATGTTTCTATATCGGTCTACAACCGTACTGTTTTTAATCTGAATTAAAATATACTTGATAGATATACATAAAAGATACAAACACAATATATACCGAGGTAAAAAATAATTATCACATCACACACTACGTAACACACCATATGGTATCATGCAAAACGATGCATGGATAAGTTAATGGATCGCACCTACATCTAAATTATGCTAAAAACTAATACAGTGGGGAAAATTGATGTTTCATAATTATCATATCAAATCTGTTATGAAATTTTACATTTTTCACTCCCAACTATTTTTTTCAGATTTCAAGGTGAAAAGCCTTTGTATGAATAATTTAATTCCCTAAATTATGCGATTCACTCCCCTCTTCCCACAATCACTTATTATTTTTGTCTCAGCCTCCTCTTCCCTCTCTGAAGCGCGTTTCATTCCTTCTCTGACATGACTGTCTGGCTCTGCCTCTCTAGTTGCTAGTTGCTAAAATGCCCATCTAGAGTGTGGAGATGGTTTGCCTCTGACCTTTCTACGGGAAGAAATATCTCCCCAGACAGTGATCAGGGGCTCAGTGTGGAGAGACCAACCCCATCCCTACTCCCTAAAACCAAGAACCTTGTGACACAATACAAACTGCACTGTAACAAGCAGTGCAATTAAACCACCTCTGAACTTGTATTTTAATTAAGCAGTTCTGGATGAAACCTCCGAGCTACTCTACTGGAATTTATTATCCTGAACAATTTATTCATGAGAAATGTAGGACAGCCACAACACGGGTACAAAGAAGCCAGCAAATGTAGGGCAAGCTGGAGCTCTGTTTAGACAGAACATGTAAAAATCAGCTCACTCTAACAGCACGCTGGATTTTGAAATGCAGGACTGGGACATTTATGTAGGTTTTGGAATTGTCCTGCTGAACAAACAAGTCACACTGCATTGCAGGAAATGTGCAAAATGGAAATCCTTCTAGCCTTTGCTAAATCGGTATCGGTCACATGATCCCATGGGATTGGTTCACAATGCAGCGAAGGGAGATAAAGGCTGCGGTGAGTATCACAAGAACAAAAGGAGCACATTGAGGCATTCAAAATCAGTGCAAATTGACTAAGCATCAAGCTGGTACAATTCAACACCAATCAACTCTGAACCAGCAATGTCACTCAGATAAAACACAAGGACGCAGGGAAATGGAAATGTCACATTGATGCATTGGAGGGCATATTGCTGAGGATGGGGGTTACAGCACATTGTTTACACAGGGAGATTTATTCTGCATGAAGTCTGTGCTGCACTCGTTTTTCACTCTGAAATGGAGCGCAGAAATAAAGAAAAACAGATGTTGGGCAGATTTTAATACTGCTGAATAAAATCTCTCTTCTTTTTGTTGTGTTGCTTGTCCAGCTGCAAACAGCAGTTGCTTGCTCACATTCCAACTGTGCAGTGAGATGAGCAGCAAGCAGGCATGCAGTTACTATCGTCCTGGGAGCAGAAGTGCAGTGAGTAGAAATGCAGCCAGCAGAATGGATATGGATACGATATATGGATATAGTATATCCATATACTGTGGGTATATGGATATACAACGTGCTGTAAATGGAGATACACTGTGGGTATATGGATATACAATGTGCTGTAAATAGAGATACACTGTGGGTATATGGATATACAATGTGCTGTAAATGGAGATACATTGTGGGTATATGGATGTACAATGTGCGGTGAATGTGACCTGCACAGAATGACATCACATTCATAATAATATAAATAATAATCCTTGCATTTGATATAGTGCTTTTCACGTCTTCTAAACGCCTCAAAACGCTTCACAGAACATACTGTAAAGTGAATTGACTGTATATTTGTGGGGTCAGCCAATTGCGTACAGCAGTGTCCCACAAACAGTCGTGGATTGAGTGACCAAATTAATATTATTTTTTTGAGGGATTATTATCATTTGTAAAGCCAAAGAACTGAAGAAAGCTCAGAATTGGAAAAGGTCACTCAGCCCATCAACCCTCCAGATCAAGCAAAACTGTCAGGAATATAATGTCCTGAACATTTCACAAATGTTACATTCATTGCAATTCTGCCTGGTCAAAATGTTTTACTTCTTATGAATTCTTTTTCCTTTAGAAGTGATTTAAGGCAATCCAGAATGGGATTCCAAAGCCCAGCGACCCAACAAGCCCTTGCATGATTCTCGTGGTTCTAGGTCTTTTGGCAGATCTTAAATTCCATGAAAATTTCAGGACTTCTGCGACAGGCCTGCACTTGTCTGCATCTCAGAGAAGGTCCAAGCATCTCACTGTCTGGTTTCCAGGTAGGGGGGATATCTTATGTGGAGCGTTATCCACTCCAGATTTAGCCTTGCTCATGCAATTGCACTCATGCACCATTCTATCTATCTATCTGTCTGTCTGTCTGTCTATATTGCCACTTTATGCACACTTAGTCTGATGCATACTTGGTCAGTCTATCCTACTCACATTGGTCATTTTGCCACCAGGCTAAGTAGATATAGTGGCACAACAACAACAAATTACATTTATAAAGCACTTTTCACATCAAAAGGATGCCGCAAGACACTGGATAGTCAAAGCTTTTGCATCCGAGCTGGGGTTGGAATCAAGAGGGTAGATGGTAGGAGGGGTTAGGGTGGGAGGGTGGCCAAAGCACAGTTTCAGAGGTATCTTGAGATGGGCTTTGAAAGAAGCAAGAGAGGGCATGAGGCGGATTCCGGGATGGAGTTCCAGAGGGTGGGGACAGAAAAGCTGAAGCTGATTGCCAATGGTGGGGTGGGCAGGGCGGGGGACATGCAGCAGGTCAGTGCCCATTGAGTGGAGGGAACGGACAGGTTTGGGCAATTCTAGTTTCTCTCTTACATCAAGTGATTTTTCTACTTTCTACAGGGAGTGCTCTGCCCAAGTTACCATGTCCATATGGAGAAATCACAACTAGGAAACAGTCATCAGGTGATAGGGCACCCTGGCTCGCCCATGGTCACTGGGTGACCCTTAAAGCAACTCACCCATTGAACCTCAAGTTACTTCTTGTCCTATTCAACACCAACATTCTCCTATTTTTTAGCTGTTCCACTGGTGGTTGCTCAGTTTAGCATTCCACCAAATATGAGAGAAACTAAAAATTTTTTATTCACAATTAGATGATCAAGTTCTCATCACCAAAAGAATAACAAAGCAAAAATCCAATTATTCTTAATGCAGCTTCTCACAACCAGAAACAAAATTGGCTTGAACTTGACCTAATTTTAATTGCTTTCAAAGACTTGCTTCTTAACCCCTTACTGATACAAAATTTGCCACAAAGCATACAGTTAACTACACTTTACAGTACATTCTGTGAAGCACTTTGAGACGTCTCAATGACGTGATACGATGCTATATCGAACGCAAGGATTATTATTATAAAATGAGTGTGAACCATATTAACTACAGGAGTGAATCAAATCTACTTCACCTTTGGTGTCAATGTTGTACAGAAATTTTGCTGTCTTTTCTTATGCCTAATGTTGCTTGATGTGGTTTTGTCACATTACAGGAAAAACATTTTCAAATTAAACTCTCAACAATTTACGCCATTTCTCTTTCCAGCATTACAGCATGTCCTGATGTCTTCACTGTAAGTGGTCTGAACACAGTTAGAGTTGTGAACTCCAACTGATTTAATTTCTATATAAACACCAATCGCAGTGAAATTAATCAAAATATCAGATTTTGAACAAAAAAGGTAAATATTTTATGACAGGAAGACGGTGGCAATGCTCTCACACATTTCATGGTACCTGTCATCCACCTAGTGAACTGGCTGCAAGGTGACATGCTTGGCAATGGATTGTCAGAATTGAGTGGCGCGCTTAGAAATCTAGTTTTCAAGTCAGGCAGGTCCACAGTCATCAGGGCACTACTGATGACAGAACAGCCAGCCGAGCTCATCAGCAGGACTTAGAATGGAAGATACTTGGAGATTCTTGCCACCCAGTTTCTGTTAACTCTGCAAACCAAAGCCCAATGTGCAAGATAGTCTTATCTGGACAAGCAGTGGGAAAGTTGCCAGAAAGGAAAAAAGACCTTCACAATCCTCGGGACACTAGGCAGTAGTTTGGAACAGCCCAGGAGAATGTTTTACAACCCTACCATGCAGTAAATGGGGAAAGGATGTGCATTGAAAGAGAGGTGAAAATAATCTGAAAGCAATGAAGGAAGTAAATAGGAAATAAACAAAGACTAGGAGATGTTTCCATCATCACTTCTTTTTTGTACCTGAAAAGAATGCCTTTTTCTTACCTTGTAGATCAAGCAACACAATACCGGTGTCATCTTCCAGTCCTTCAATGACTTCACACTTATATTTACCGTAGTCCTCCAAAGTTAAGTCTGTTATTGTGATAGAGGCATCATTATCATCGGTTTCTTCCAGGAAAATCCTTCCCTGGTAGTTTCCGAAACTTTTTCTGTTGTGTCCCATGACTACAAATACATCAATCTCTTTAAGGTAATCAGAGGTGAGTTTGGTCCACTTGATCCGGATTTTAGAAGGAGTCGGAACAACACCCACATGTTCATGGTGGAATTTACAGGGCAGAGTGGCATTTCCACCCCGGTAAGAGACTACTTTAGGCTGTTCTGTCTGTACCTTCAACAGTGATCCAGTATCTACAGGAATAAGAATAATGATTACTGTAAACAGACATCCAAAGCCTTCTGAAAGCGTGGTGCCCGGAATTGGGCCTTACCAGTGATTTATATCGTTTTAGCATGACTTCCTTGCTTTCGTACTCTATGCCTCTATTTATAAAGCTAAGGATCCCAAACACATTGTTTTTAACAGCTTTATCAATCCGTCCTGCCACCTTCAAAGATTTGTGTATGTCAACTGCCATGTCTCTCTCTTCTGTACCATTTAGTTTATTTTGCCTTTCCTCATTCTTCCTCCCAAAATGCGTCACTTCACACTTTTCTGCATTAAATTTCATCTGCCATGTGCTTACCCATTTCACCAATCTCAAAACACTTCACAGAATTTACTGTAAAGTATAGTGACTGTATATTTTGTGCAAGAATGCTGCAGAAACTTCATCAGTTGGAAGCGTATTGCTTCAGAAAATGTGAAAAGCAAACTGAAATATTTAGAAGAATCATTCAGAAATAGAGGCAGAGAGTACAAAATCATTCCTGCTTTCTAATTTAGCTCCAGTGTACCTTAGATCTATTTGGTGGTCATTAACTACATGAGCAAAGCAGCTATTTGAGAGTATAATCTGGAGCCGTGCTTACAGACGGCACAATTCCTGATCAGTAATGGTCCAAACTGGCAACTTCACCATGTTTCTCTGCTCATAAGCTCATGATAGAAAATAGAGATTTGCTGAGACTTTCTCAAATCGGAACTGATAGAATACAAGCCAAGAAGTGCTAACAAGCCATTAAGAACTTCTAACCTCCTGATCATCTACCTATTGATTTTAAGCAAAATGCCAATACATATGCTAACCCTGAGTAGAAATGAACACAGGGTAAATGGGAGGATTGTCAGAGGTAATTAAGCAGAAATGTAAGTGAAACAGAATAGTTACAGATGTTCTGAGATTCATCTAGTGGTGGAAGTTTTTCTGAGTTACAATAAAAAATCCTTGTTTTTTTGAGTTTAACATACTGTATCAATATTAACTGATGTGATAATGGAACAACGGGGAATAGGCTGAACTGGGAAAGACTAACAGAGGATGCCTGGGGTGAGTGCAAAACAGTAATCTAATTTGAGAAGGTCACAGAATAGCATTAGCTGTGAAGACCAAGAATCTTATGTTGAGATTACAGCGTAAAAACCCTCCTTTTCTTTGCAATCTCCTTTGGTCCTATTCTCATGCCTGTGCTCTCTATTCTTCCTGGTCTGGTCTACTGTTCATTTCTTACTCATAATTGGCGGTCAAGCCTTCACCTGGTCTGCCCCTCCTCTCTGGACTCTCTCCAACTATCCAGCCACCTTGCTCCTGCTCTTCCTGCCTTCAAAAATCACTTATTAATTCGCCTCTTTGGCCATACCTTGGGTCAACACCCTCACATTTGGAAGTGAGCAGATAACTGTAGCAGTGGAGGCAGTACAGCAATGGTTTAAAGGGCTGAAAGTTTGATAAAACTGTACTCATTAAGTGAACTCATGAACAGAATTACTCATCTGGCATCAAGCCCTTGTAACATGGGTGAAATAACAACTGTTGTGTTAGTATAGTTAGGATTAGTATAGAGATCAAAATATTATGTATGTTAGATGAATAAAATTCCAAGTTAATCAAATGCATTACTATGATCCCGGTTTTTGTTTATTAGTGTACATTATTTCAAACAATATCAAAACAATACAATTCAATTAGTTAACAATTTTTTACACCAACGATTAGAGTCTTTTATGAACAATTTGTACTAAGGTATTGAGGAATTGGACAACTGCAGCTATTTATAATTTTTGGGTTAAAACTGTTGTATTCCTAAACACATTGCAATTCTTATTTAAGGAAAGGGGGTAAAATATTGTTTTAAGACACATGGGTTTGAAATATTTTCTTTTTTTAACTTCTGAACAATGGTAGTTTCCAAACCCAGCTGAAAAGCACTGTTTCATTTAAACTTGGTTTTACTTGGTGAAAATACTTGTAAGCACTTGCACTAGGAGTTAATGTACTCAATATAATGTAATCATTTTGAATGTACTCAATGTTCTAGGTTGAAACACACACATCTCCTGTTATATGGGGCACACAATGAGGGCTGTGAATGTAACCCACATAACAAGAGAAGTTGACAGTAGCCAGGAACACATTTACTGTTCTAAAAACTTATATTGAGCCAGTTTATACTGAGAAATAAGAGTAAAGCCAATTAATTATCCGTTGTTGCCATTGTTCCTGATCTCAAGTTGTCTTGATTTCCTGATCTCAAGTACTGGCTTGATGCAGAACATTATTTTTTGAACTACAGCCCAGTGATCAGAGCAAAAAGCAAGTTCTGCAGCAATTTGCATACCTGCACCAACTCCCCTTCCAATTGCAGCCAGCCTATCTTATCCCTTGGTGGTAGACCCACCTTGCTAGGTTTTCACTCGGGAAGCTCAAGCAAACAAATTAGAATAGGACACTCTCAAACATCCCCTTAAAACTATTATCCTTAAAATTATTGGCTTTAAACCAGTGCAAATGAAAAACTACTGTATAACTAGCCTGAGCAGCACATTAATTTCCAGAGCATTCATATTCCCTAGGAGAGAACCACGCATCATTGAAGGGTTCCTTCCTCCATGGAACAATTTTATTAAAGTATTAACTTAGATTCATATCTATTGACTGGGAAAGATTTGTGACATTGCAGTGACCCATGACATGATCTGCTCCAGATGCCAATGATAGATTTTATCTCTCAATATCTTCCCGATTCACCATTAATTGTTATTCACAGTTATAAGAATATTAGGGTACATGAGCTCAGGTTTATGATTGGAAGAATTAAGGGGAGGTTATATATATTTTTTTAAATCAGAGGTTTGTTGAAGGAACTACCACCTGCTTAGATTTGCTTGATGAATCAGATAGCCTCCTGCAATGCTGGAATTGTTATTATTGTATAAGTAAGCACAGGATGGCAAGATACCATTTTTCCACCGTCTTGTCCCAAAGTAAAAATAAGGCATATTTCCCTAGATCTGATGGTAGTTTCTCTCTGAAAGCCAGGTCCATAAGCAAACAGTTAATCAGTCTCCAGATACGGCACTGAGCACAAAATAAAGTGGTGCATGATGAGAGATCAGAATCTGCCCGATGCCCAAATTGATTGATGTATACAGAAAATCTCCGATGAGTCTCAAAAACATCAATGTGTCCATGCAGGTTATATGTAGAGGAATAGAAATAATCTCTTGCCAACAGATAGTGCAGTCAATATATGTCCACAAGATCAATTCTGCTGCTAAACTATTCTAAGATTAAAAATAAAAACAGAAGTCGCTGGGAACACACAGCAGGTCAGGCGTATCTATGGAGAGAGAAAAATGAGTTAACGTTTCAGGTCAATGACCCTTCGTCAGAACAGACCTTTTGAGTTCTGACGAAAGGTCATCGATCTCAAATGTTAATTCACTTTCCTCTCTCCATAGATGCTGCCTGACCTGCTGAGTGTTCCCAGCGACTTTTTTTTTATTTCAGATTTCCAGCATCTGTCGTATTTTGCCTTTTGTATCTTCTAAAATTACTTGGGTTCTGTTGTATTCCTCCCCTTCCTTCCAGATGTTAGCCAGTGGTTGATCCACTGGCAGATTTATACCCTGCTACAATCATGGTTCCCAATTTAAATAATATAACTTGGGTATTACAAGTTAGTTCACTTGCGAGCTATCAGATCAGCCCATTATGTATATCATCGTCCAAGGCACTTCATCAAGTAGCATCAGTTCCTGAGACGACACTGATTTGACATCTGAGAGGCTGTTGAGACGTCATCATTGCAGAAGCACACTGCTTCACAGGAATCAATCATGTTTGACATGCACAAAAACATAATGGTTTGAAAATTTTCATGGGTGACATTCAAAGCCAAACAGAACTCATCCTTTTTGGTACGGGCTTAAATTCAGTGCTCGACCTTTGGATTCGCAGAAAACAGAATCCCAGATTTACCAGAAATGCTTACTTCTGGTTATGTTTGTTTTACCAGTGTACATGCTGGTTGCCTAGTTAATATCTTCCAAATAAAAGATACATTTTATTGCACTTACAAGGTTTTGATTTTAATGTTATCACTTACAAGGTTAGCTCCTTACTTTCTCTTCCCGATTACATTGTAATCATGTTGTGTTTTTTTACTGCAGTAGCTAACATATTATGACAAATGAGATATATTGGTGCCAACGATCAGCGTGGGATGTAGGTTGCAGTGATAGTTTGGTTACCATGGAACCAATTTAAATCAGACTCTAATCCAAAAATGGAAAGACAATGGGTTATGGGCCTGGATGATTTAGTCCCTCTGTGTATGTAAAATGACGTTTTGTAAATTACATTAAACCTTTCCATCCTAAAGCAGGAGGTTTGGGACCTTGGGACGTCCTCCCAATGTGTAAGGCTCTATATAGATCCAATTTGTTGTTGTTTTTGAGCGACAGCAGACAGTCACTTACAGGCATTTAATTTGTTTTATTAGGATTATGTCAAAAAAAGTTTTATTCTGCCTGGTCTGACCTCTCCAACAATGTAATATGGGTGGAGGTGAGGATCAGCATCTGACAGCCTAGTGGGGGAGAAGATATAATATAAACAGAAGGCAGCTTCCTCAAGGGCTTGGTGGGTAAAGACACCAGCTTGATTAGTACTGAGACATAGAGAGCTTTTGTACTAAGTTTCTGCAGAAATCACCCATTAAAGGGGAACTGCAATCATAAAATTGATATACTGTAAAGTGTAGTGACTGTGCGTTTTGTGGGCGAAACGTGGCAGCCAATTGCACACAGCAGTGTCCCACAAACAGTTGTGGCTTGAATGACCACATTATTATTATTATTTTGAAAGGGTTATTACCCCCGGAAAGCGATCCGCCAATAGACTAACAAGTGAGTTCCTACTTACTGCTCGGTAAACAGAGGCGTGATTATATGGTGCTTATAATACAAATGAAAATATTGACACAAGGTTCATCGAGTCCTTTTATCATGAAAATGTTTAATTTTTAAAGAGTTATACATTGTTAGCAATTTAGTATCTCAATATTATTGCTCGTGGGGTAAGTAAAAAGAGGAGGAATGGATTTAACATTTGGTTTTAAACGTTAAAATTGCAGTCGTGTTTGCATATTCAAGGATTTCATGCCTTTAGGAAAAGCGCAATTTTGGCCCCAAATGATGCTGCTGAGTACAAATAAGATGAGTGTGAATGTTTGTGTGTGTATGCGTGTGGTGGGGGGGAGGGGGGTGAAGATAAGAAAAGTAACTGTAGGAGTAAGAGAATCCAGCAGAGGCACATTAATTCCAATGTATAAATGATGGAAGGTAAGAGGTGGCAAGAGAGATCAGCATCTGTCAGAAACAGGGATTGCTGCACACAGGGAGATGCTGCGTTATTTTAGCAGAGCAAAGTTGAAGTACATGACAGGAGAATTCTGCTTGGCAATTGGTTGTTAGTTGAAAAAAAATAAGTAGAATTAATAAGAAGGCTTTTGCAGCTGTGATTTGAGTACAAGGCAGAATAGAATAATAATCAACTAGTCCAACAGTTGTCCACACGAGTGGTATTAAACTATAAATGTGCACCTAGGCATGCTTTTTCTGTAGGAATATTTCAAGCACAACAAATTATATTTGTAGAGCACCTTTCACGTCGAGAGGATGTCCCAAGGCGCTGAGTATGTTTCACTTAATATGTTTAATTCAGTTCTTTTGTGTACTTAAATTTCGAAGCTTTAAATTGTATGAAGTTACATAGGAATTGCATTAATATTGCAATCAGTACAATGTAATACAACAGGCATTACGCAGCCCAGAGAGAGATTCTGCCACTGATGCTTTCTGTGATGCTGCTGTACTTACCTGCAATGTAGATTGTCCTGAAGAACTTCGGCTCTGTGGAGTTCTGACTTACACGAGAATCAGCCCAGCAGACCGACAGCAGAGCAAGTAGAAGCAGAGAAGTCATCTTTGTGATGGCAAGAATTCACTTTACTGTGGGGAAAACTAAAAGGAATTTGTACAATTTAATAAATGGGTGGGGATTACAACAGCTGCAAAATTGACTTAAGCAAACTAGTCAAACGCAGAGACTGATCTTTATGCTAACTCGTAACAGCAGTTTAAGGCAATGCATAAATAAGATACAGATATATAATTACTACATATCAAAATCTATTTCTAGTAATAGAAGACATGTTTGTAGCAATGTAGGAACATACATTACTAACAAAAAACAGGTCACATCAATCTTGAAATAGAATTTGAGCATTGACTTTGTGACATTAACATTCTGACACCCTTTATGTAGCAAAATGCATAGAATACAGTTTCTTGCTTTGTTATGGACTGTTCAAAAATACAATATTTCTATCAAACATATTGGTTCTATAGTCTATTTCAATTTAGATGCACAGGAACTGAGATCAGGAGCATGAATGCAATTCTGCATAAAAAAAGTATTAAGATAACTCAGGCCAATGAGGCTCAAAAGAAATATACGCAATGTACAGAAAATTGCAGAAAAGCCTCTGCAGGATTTTTCTAAATCTTACAAAAATGAAATTGAAACATAAAAGAAAACTCAGGCAATCCACTCACCATTTTAAACAGAAGCATCACCCGAAGCAGGAGTGTTGAGGATCATGTACAAACTAGGTTAGAGTGGACAATGCTAGCACTGCAGTCACAGATTGATTTTCGTTCATTTCTAACCCAGAATGCTGACGCACAACCTTAGTGTGCCAGGTAGTGTGTCCGCAGTCAGCAAAGCTGAATGCAGCAGAATAGGCACCACCAGGCTGGGAACAGGCATTAGAGTTGAGCCAATTGCCAGCATAAATAGATAAGGACACGTGCAATAGAGTGTCACTATGCTGCATTGCAACCGTTAGACTGTTTACAACTCTTGTAAATTCTATTTTAGAAATGCAAGTATATTTTATTAAAACATGAATTTGGGCTATCCTGGTAACATTAGTTTACAAGTTAAGAAAGATATACAATTTAATAAAACACAGAGAGATCCTGGCTAGTGTTGAGGTCCTCCCTCGTGTTGGGGTCCTCACGTATTGAACTGCAGTCATTAAAGGCAAAGAACAGCCAACACAGCTCAAGAAGCTGAGCATTTTGCCAGATATGGACATTACAAGGACGTTAACTACAGTATAAGAGATCCTGAATCCTCATATCATTGGAATTTATACTACAGTGTTAGAAATCAAGTATTTTCCCAATCAAATTGTACAAAAGCAAATTTGGATAATCTTTTTCACAGTTGCTTTAGACGTATGGGCAGCTTACAGTTCGACACGTGTAAGCTGGCTCCAAGGTGATGTATTGGGCAACTAAATTTCGGAATTAAATTATCCTCTGTGATGGGCTCGGTAGTCTGGTTCTTAAGATAGATGGGACTGCAGTTCTCCAGGCACTGCTGCTGAAAGACCAAAAGACCAGCAAACTTGGCTCATCAGCAGGACTTGGAGGAACAGACTGGGAGCAGGGATTCTTCCCATTCAGTTTCTGATAACCTTGTAAACGCTAAAGGGTGGCGTGGTCCAAACTGGATGGGAAGTTTGTCATCCACTTGACCATAAATTGAACTTTTAATATGCCACGCACCTTGATGTTCCAGAGGTCCAAATCCAATATTGTGAACAAAATTTGATTAGCACTAAAACTAACTTAAATGATAATAATAACATAGCACCCTTCATGTCAGGAGGATGTCTCAAAGCTCTTCATAGGAATTCCTATAAAATGTAGTGACTGTATAGTTTCTAGACATACCAGATCCTCATGACAGAGACGTGTTCGCTGTGAAGCTCATTCTACCTTCAGGATGCTGAACAACAGATCAGTGTAGGCAGAAGCCTTTCTTCCCCGCAGCCACTTCCTCTTTCTAACCACAAATCCACATCACTAATTGTCCCTGGGCATCGCAAATGGATAATAGGAAATTGTTCTATTTCTGCCTAGCAGCCCAAAACCATAATAATAACACTTGCCGTTTGTTATAGTGTCTCATCATGTTATCGATATGTTTCAAAGCACTTCACAGCATATACTATAAAGTGAAAGGCAAAATACTGCAGATGTTGGAAATCTGAAATAATAACAGAAGTTACTGGGAAAACTCAGCAGGTCAGGCAGCATCTATGGGAGGGTCTTGAGATGGGTCTTGAAGGAGGCAAGGGAGGGGGCAAGGCAGAGGGACTGCAGGATGGAGTTCCAGAAGGTGGGGGCAGAGTGGAAGAAGGCCCGCCTGCCAATAGTGGGTTGAGCAAGGGGGGAATGTGAAGCAGGCTGGAGCCTGCTGAGCGGAGGGAGTGAGCAGGATGTTAGGGGGTTAGGAGGTCCCAAAGGTAGGGGGGAGCAAGACCATGGAGAGTTTTGAAGGTGAAGACAAGGGCTCAACCACTTCTACTTGACAGTCACCCCTCGCAACAGGGTGAGCACTTTGCCCAAAGCATTAAAGAGCTGCTCTCTTGACACGAGGTATCTGGCCAGTGGTCTGAAGCTTCCCAGTGATGTCAAACAACACAATTTGAGAGCATATGATGGTCCAAGATATTCACAAGCATGTGATCGAATGCTGTGTGCTGTGTTGCTCTGAGCTCCACACCCGTGCCTGCAATTGGCAAACCTGAGAAAGGAAGCTGAGAGCACTGCTGTCGAAGGGATATGTTCTTCAAGGAGGATAGTTATGATTTGGTCATTTGGGCAAATAGGAGTTTGAACTCTCGCTCAATATATCAATGGTCACAGCATCTCTTCCCAATGGTGAGCAACACTGCTGCACATAATGAGAGCAAGTGCATTGTCATCGTACCTGTCATACATTGTGATCCACAGTTGGAGGCAGGAAGCTTCAGCAGTGGTTGTTTTAGACTTTGCCCATCAATCAGGGTAACCACTGCATCCCTGATATAAGAGCTCTTGCTTATAACCAGACACTCCAGGTAGCTACCACTAGCAGCTGTCATCCCAAGCCTCCCAAGTTTCTATCTTTTGAAAAATATCCATTGTCTGTGCAGTAGAGAGATCTTTGTGGGACAGTTTTCAAAGAGCCAACCACTTTGGAATTCTAGAGATCAATGTCACTGTCAGACCTGCTGGATAGAAATAAGTCAAGAAACACATCCGCCTCCTCAAGAATTTTCAGTGAGGCTTTCATCATTTTTCAACAGAGGCTTACTTCAGACGCATTCTATATCACGGTATCTGCGCAGCGGGCTGTCATTCTCCTGCTGCTATTGCTTCTGGACACCATCCCAGTCCCTACGCAGGAGATCTAGTTTAGAATAAGCAGTTTGGATTGTCACTTTAAATTCAAATACTGGGTTCTGAGTTTTCACCACTTCCAAGTTTCATCCAGTTACACCCAGATATTTGGAGCCTCATCCAATAAGGTACTTGGTCAGTCAATCACACTCACACTAATTACCGCCAAGCAAAGTTTATATGGACATAACAGCTGTGTGTGCTGTTCTAAACATCCACTCTAGAGGTTCAGCCTCGGCTCTGATATGTCCTGGGGACTAAATCATTCTCATCTCTTCTCTTGCCAAATTCTGGTCAGTAAGCAGCTGACCCCTAGCGATTGCTTTTCTAAATGATCAGTCCCGTCTTTTGAATGAGACGCTAAACCGAGATCCCTTCTGCCTGTTCAGGTGGATCCCATAGCACTATTCAAAAAGAGAAGCGAATTTCTGCCGGTATCCTGGCCAAGAATCCCCCAAATGAATTTGGTCATTTCATTTTAGAGCTGTTGGTGAAACATTCCTATTCACAAATTGGCTATCCACAAAACACAAAATGACTGCACTTTACAATATATCCTGTGCCGCAATTTGGGGCAGCCTCCTAACGTGAAAGGCACAGCACCAAATGTAAGGATATTATTATTGTTGTTTCAGGCAGGGCACCAGTTGACCCCCTGCCCTCCCATGATCCACAAACGACTGACCCCAGATGTTGCTTGAAACGACTCAACCCTGGAAACATGCCATACATGTCACTCCTGGTCCAACATCAACATCTTCTTTTCTGGGCATTGTTCAGTATCCCCTTCTAACAAGAGAGACCTGGTGCATGTGGCCATGAACAAACCAGTGAAATCACTTTTAGGAACTCAATGCAGCTTTTTTTAATTGAAGCACAGGATCATCACCAACTGGAAAAAAAATGGGCCATAGAGTGTATCCTGAGTGTACTATCTCATCACACTCTCACTCCTACACTCGGATTGATCCTTTCTTAAATAGCAATGAGGTATTATTCACATGGTTTTAAATTGGACCTGGTTTGTCTTTCCCAAGTGAGTTGCAGCAATCTTCCGCTTGATCATCCCACAGCTTGGTCCAGATCTCACACACAGACTGTAAGAAACCTTTCCACTATATATTTACGTGTACATTGTTTCTATAATAAATAGTATACAATATAAATATCTTCACATTGGAAGAGCAGCTCAAAGTGTTTCACAAACACAACGGGATCACTGAGTATGTGGATATTTACCAAAGATGTGGTTAAAGGATAGAACTCTTCATGCCAAAAGGACTTCTCAAAGTGCTTCATACAGGTGACTTGGACCCCGAGCTGGGGGGCAGGAGGGGTTTAAAGGTGACCAAAATCCACGACTGTTTGTGGGACACTGCTGAGTGCAATTGGCTGCTTCATTTCGCCACAAATATACAGTCAGTTCACTTTACGATATATTCTGTAAAGCGCTTGATACGTCTAGAAGATGTGAAAAGCGCTATATCAAATGCAAGGATTATTTACTTATAAAAGCACAGTCGAAACGATCGGCCATAAGAGAGGTTCTGAAGGTGGGGAAAGAGGGGGTATGGTGGAGGCACACTGAGATGGAGTTCCTGAGAATTGGGGTAGAAATGGCTTAAATACAAAGGACACATATTTAAGAGGCTTTTGAAGGCAGAGAGCCAAGGCACAAGGCCAGGGGATTTGAGGAGAGGAGAGAGTATCAGAATATTGTTCACTATGCTCTAATATTGGGCCCATTTACCCCAGGAAAAGGAACTTGTGATTCCCTTCTCATTGCGTCAGGATATAGTGAATAATGAGCCGTGGTGCATGGAACAATTTCAGCATAATCCATGATTAGTGCAATGCATTCCATTTCTGGGTGGGTTTGCAAGCCAGCAATGTTCAAATTGATTGTCCTGGAATTTAAAACAATGTTTCAGAGCATTAAATGTTAAAGCATTTAACTCCTATCAGATGGATTTGGATCTTGTGGTTGTCAATCAGTTGTGTTCACCTCTCATTCCTGAATGTATTTTGCCAGTTTCTCAGTCTCTCATTCTCACCAAACTACACATGGCCATTAACTCAATCTTCACGAGGCTCCACTTGAACCGATCGACCTCAAGATCCTCACCCTCACATACAAATCCTTTCTCACCCTGACACCTCCCTATCTCTCTGATTTCTTTGCACATTATGCTCCCAACCTCTGGAACTCTCTGTATCTATCCCCTCTCTAACTATCTTCAAATCCCACCTTAGCATCTTGACTTATCAGTCAGGATCATTCATCTCTGGAAGAGGGCATATTGACAGAGGTGAGTCAGCTGGTGTAAATACACTTGATATTA